AAATAAATAAATAAATAAAACATTTGCATCTACTCAACTGAGTAAATCTAACACAATTACTTCCCATTCACTTATAAAGTAAATGAAAAAAATTGCTTTAGATTCACTCAGTTCAGTTGAATAAAACCTGCTGACATAATTTATTTAAGTAAATCCAACATAAAAATTTTGATTTTTTTAGRGTAGCTTAATGCTAAAAGTAAAAAGATGCTAGCTTGGTTTCTTGTTGGTAGCAAAGACTAACAACTTTAACTGTTACTCGTGAAAAGGTTGAATATTATTTCTTACCAAAAGTGGCAAAAACCAGGAAACTGTAGTTGATACAAAGGTTGTCTTGACTTTATTTCTAGAACAAATAAGAACTTTCATCCTTTTAAGACATTTTATTATTTTGTTTCTGTGCTAAGCTAAACATTATGTTTACTTAGCATGCACGTTTCATCAAGTATTTCCTGAGCTGATAAGCAGAAATATTGCATTATTACTCATGGATTTGTCCTTGTTTTGTGTTATTTTTTACTTTTATTTTGTCCAAAACAATTTCTTAGTAAGAATGTGTTTGTATCCGTAGCTGGAAGAGATGCAGTGGTCAGGAGGTGACCTTAGGATCCCAGAGTCAGTGTGTAGTTTCCCCTGTGAGCCCGGTGAGKGGAAGAAGATGGTGAAGGGTGTGCCCTGCTGCTGGCACTGTGAGCTCTGTGACGGCTACCAGTACTTGTTTGATGAATTCACCTGTGACATGTGTCCGTTTGACATGAGGCCCTTCAAGAACCGCACAGGTTGTCGGCCCACGCCCATCATCAAACTGGAGTGGAGCTCTCCCTGGGCCATCATTCCCGTCTTCCTGGCAATACTGGGAATCCTGGCCACCACTGGAGTCATCGCCACCTTCGTCCGGTTCAACGACACGCCCATTGTTCGAGCGTCCGGACGAGAGCTCAGCTACGTGCTGCTGACGGGCATCTTCCTCATCTACCTCATCACCTTCCTCATGATTGCAGAGCCCAGCGTGGTGGTGTGCGCCTTCCGCAGGCTGCTGCTGGGGCTCGGCATGTGCATTAGCTATTCCGCCATGCTCACYAAGACCAACCGGATCTACCGCATCTTTGAACAGGGCAAGAAGTCGGTCACACCTCCCAAATTTATRAGCCCCACCTCTCAGCTGATTATCACGTTCATACTCATCTCAGTCCAGGTAAACTCAAGAATATTTCTGATAAACTGTATATAAGTGCAGGATCTGTAGAGGTCTAAAACTTCTCTGTCCACAGTTACTGGGGGTGTTCGTTTGGTTTGGCGTGGAGCCCCCTCACACCACCATTGACTACGAGGAGCTGAAGCCTCCTAATCCGGAATTTGCCCGTGGAATCCTGAAGTGCGACATGTCTGACCTGTCACTCATACTGTGTCTGAGCTACAGTTTAGTGCTTATGATCACCTGCACTGTCTACGCTATAAAGAGCAGAGGAGTTCCTGAGACCTTCAACGAGGCCAAGCCCATTGGCTTCACCATGTACACCACCTGCATCATCTGGCTGGCCTTTGTGCCAATTTTCTTTGGAACAGCACAGTCCACTGAGAAGGTAGGAAACCAGGATTACAGGCTTCAAGTGTCATTTTGGCAAAATCTCATCTTACATTTTGGCCCTACCTCTACCATTCACACCAAGGGAGAGGGATGTCCCAAACTTGTTAGCGGTGAAGAATAGGAAAAGTGGTTAAGAAGATGGATAGTTAGGGTTAGGATGGATGGATGGATGGATGGATGGATGGATGGATGGATGGATGGATGGATGGATGGATGGATGGATGGATGAATGAATGGCTGGAATGTGGTAAAGTTGTAGAGGTAGCTGGTCCTTCAAATTTCAGGGGCATACTTTAAACAAAATGGTGTGAACTGCACTTGCAAAGAAACAAAAATGTATTTTCTCACAATAATAATTATAATTCCTGGTTGGAGGTGTTATAGTGTATTGTTTAATTCAATTGATATTTATCTGCAACAAGCTTTTAAAAAGTAGTTTCAAATTCCTCAGTTTTTTGTCACATGTAATYACTACTCTGATGGATTACATTTTTATTGTTAAACTATCTTTTGACAAGTTTAAAAAATGRCAAATGCTGAAGGCTGTTGAAAGCTAGAGTTATACACTGTATGGACATACTGTATATATTGACATATCCATTTATGTAAAAGAACTTTGCAAAAATAAGAAATAACAAGAACATAGTGAAAAAAGCCTCCTGTTAAGCAGACAAAAAAAATCAGGTCTTTTTTTGTCACTTCAGTAGAAAACAAAAGTAAATATTAGTTTATTTAGTTTATGTATTTCTTCATCATCAGTGACTTTTTTAAGTGAAGAGAAAATAGAGACAGAGAGAAACACACAGAGAGAAGTAATTAGAAAGATAGAAAGATTGAAATAGCGATTAGAAGTGTATTTAATATACACCAACAAAAAAAAAAAAACAGGACCACACACCCAACATCTGTCCGCTCACCTGAAAAATAAATGGATAAATACATGGAGGGCATATATAAATATATACACATACCCATACATACTGTATATAAAGATATACATACATACTGTACATTCATAAATATTGTCAGTATGTACAC